TGATGCCAACCCTTGGCATATGTCTTTCAGTAACAGTAACTTCAGAGTCTGAAAATTCCTACAGGTGTTCAGAAAGGAGAGTAGAGGGAAATGTTACTGCCTGACACCTGAGAGACTGGAAAAACTCCGTGTTCTGTGTTCTTACATACATCTGAACCTATTTGGGTTGTGGCTTTTGCACACTTTTTCAAAAATTTGATTGATGAATTTCAAAAAGCTAATTCTCAAGATAATTCAGTGTCAAAATCCCAGCTGCAGTCTCAATAGAAAAGTAACCACCAGGTCATATGTTGTGAGTGTATACCTAGTTCCTTATTCTATCACCATTGTTATTAACTTGGAACCAATAACCAAATGAATCTCAACAAGGAGGCACTTCCTGCATCTATCAATATGTTCCCCTTCCTCAGAAATGGTTTCTTTGGCTAATTATACACGAAATGCCCATCATCTGACAGCTTGTTCTAGGCTGTGAGAAGGTTGGCATCATATGGATGGCATCAAGTGAAACAGTGTGCATGTGATAATACTTTAAATATGGAGTTGTGTGCTATATTTTTTACTGTATTATTACTGTTAGTTTTAATTAGTGAAGGTTGTGTGTTTGGAAAATGCCTCCTCTACGGGGTCTTCATTGCTGACAACATTGTACCAACTTAGAGAGTGAAGGGAGAAAAAAAATCTAAAATAACCCAAAATACACACTTTGCTGAGTGCTTTGTTTGTGTGCTGATTTCTTGACACAAGGTTATGCTTGATGGGATCTTTTGTTGTTGGAATTTCTCTGGTGTGATTTTCCTGCTTATTTCTTTCTGCTGCTGAATGGGTACCTAACTGCATCTGGTGATGCGGACTTTTATTTTTCAGTGGAAATGATTTACAAAATGGCTTTGTAAAGTGCCTTCTACATTTATTCTGCAATAACATTGAACTTGCCATTGCAATCGTGTTTTCTGGTGAAATTGTTGGTGGTTTATAACTTTGGAGGATAAAATTGATATGGTGGTGGAACTCATGGACTTTTCTGGGTGCTTTTCTCTGTAGTTCAAGAATGGCATGCTTAATAACGTGTAGGACACTTTCTATATTGCCTCAATTATTGGTTAATTTGTCTGTATCATCAACTATGAATAAAACTAGGATGTAGATTTTCAAATCTTCCCTCTTTTCCCACAATGCCTCAGCAAAATAACCTCTTTGTATAGCACAAATATAAGCACCTGTATGATAGTGAAACCAG